TTATACAAGGAGTTATTTTGACAATAATACAATGAAAGATATGATTCAATATTTTGCATATCTGCTTTCCATGTCAAACAGAGCTGAGTTCAGTTTTTAAGATAGTGTAATTGTCTTACTCACATACGACCAACTACAGCAAACATTCAATTCAGCCATGGATAAAATGGAAATGGACTCATATCTACTTGCATGTTCTTCGATAACACAAATTGCTTTCTTGTTGTAATAACGTAAAACATTTTGGAATATTATGCAAAAAAGAAGAAAAACAAAAAAGCAACAACAAAAAAACTAATATAACTCAATAGGGGAAAAAACAACAACAACAAAAAACCCATGATATTTTTGAATTACTGTTGCATGCAGCTTCACCACTTCACCACTGAAATGTTAGATATGTTATTGTTTCGTTACATGAAATTGAAGATATCTGATCAATAGAAATTTGATATTGATAATGATTTTAAAATGAATTTAAATATGTGGGATTTCATTCTGTTGAAATTTGATCGATTGTGTCGTTTTCAGTCACTGTGACTCTTACTGATTTGTTTTACTTCAGAGTTTCTAGCTATTCTGTTCGTTATAAAGAATATTTATTTAACTAATACATTTACATCTATTTCGTTATTCATAAAAATACAATAGAAGATGTTTTGTCACGGTTGGTTTTCTTTTAATCAATTGTTTTAATGCTAGTAATCACTAGTATTTATAGGCGACTCAAATATTGTGTTTATTACGAGCTAATCTATTTACAGTTACATGATAATTAGATTGTTTAATATTAAAGGGATATTCAGGCAAAATAATGACAAACATATTAAAATGATCTTTTGTACTCAACTCGCGCTAAAATGGCATTTCTAAAAGTTTCAGCATAAATTTCTGTTTAAATTCTATATATTTTGGATTTGAAACATAAATATATCTATATATGTTGAACAAAATTTAGGCGTAAAGAGAATCACCGAATAGTTTTTAAGCAAGTCAGGTGACTTGAACAAATGCTTGAAGTTACATTAACAGATACTGTGGATATTGTATAATAGAAACAAGTCAAAATCATTGTTTTGACATGTTCTTTAACGTTTCCAGAGTTCACTGTGACAACTATTGTGAAATCCTAGCGCTCTAACCTGACCCACGCGGGTCAGGTTAGGAAACCACCATTTTATTCTTTATATGGGGAAAAGTTTTGTTCCTTTGACTGTCTAATATATTCATTTTGAGGGCATTTACAGAATTCGGAATGAAAAATTCAAAACTAAGAAATGAAAATTTTGCCTGTGTCTCCCTTTAAGGTATATTACATCTTTTATATTTTATAATTCAGAAGGGAAAATGTGCAAAAAGCTATTAATAAACCGTTGGAAAAACTTTTTTATCAATGTAGGATATTCACCTGTCAACTGATCAGTGTTTTCTCTTATAAAAGGAAATTAAGTGTCTGCGGGAGAAGTAGGATCATGAAAGAAACATAACAAAGGTGCTATCCTACTAACATTTTCTCATCCCTTATTAAAATTGCATGTAAAATTTTTTTAAAATACTCTAACAAGATTCGACTTATTTTATCACCAAACAACGATTTACCACTCAAGTTGTATTTTAACAACTTTTTGGCATACCATATAAATTACATTTGAGACCATGAAACCTAAGGAAGGCAAGTATATGCTGTTGTTTGTTTAACGCAGTGCCGCTTAATTTATATTTACCTTCTTTGGTCGGGCATCTTAAAATGAACTATGGTTATAACGTTTCTGAAATATAACACGGGGACATAGGTCCTTATGATAATATCACTGCACATCTGAATTATTAAGTAACAACGCACACAAAGTTAATATTATTCACTAACTTACAATCAAACAGGCAAAATCAGTTTTCATTATTCATATCATGAGTAAATAATTGAAAACAATCATATGAGATTTTCAAAAAGAAGATACATCAATATGAAAGTCAACTATCTGGGTACTAGTAATCAAAACGAAGTTATTTTGACGTTTTTGACTATTTTAAAGACCCATTTTCTCTTAGGAATGCTTATTTTTTATTTCTTAAAATATATATATATTCATTTATATTTGGTGTACTAGTATAGATTACAAATAATTACTAATTGGCCAATTACCTGAACCATCTTTCGTTATGTTGCTTTTGGCAAATAGTACAGTTATAATTATTTGGCATTTTGTATGGAAATACTACTCTGTTTGTTGTTGTTTATTTTGCTATTTTTATGACAAATAATTTTACATGTAACACTTCTTTCTTCAGGTTACAAGCATCTAGCATGCTTTTATACCGATATTTAAATATAATAAAACTCATGTTTACCCTTTCTAAAGAAGTAAACATTTATTGGTTTCTTAGGCTCAATGTGCCTTTAAAGGATTCTTATTTTCTCTATTTTACTTGAATGGTGATGATACAATTCACATTCAAACCATATTTTATTATTCTAATTACGTCTATAATTTGTCAAATTTTCCTCGGTAGATACATAATGTGCTTTGTAAGTAAGTACACAAACTATAGCTTAATATTGTATGTGATTGTTGCCTCAGAGATCATTTATTACACGATGAATCAAAATGTACGACAACTTGCTCATATAATCCGGTTAAAGCTCTCTTATAAATCATTTCCATATGGCCATTGTGGAATTGTTGTCGTGTCCTTAATTACAGTGTTAGATTCAATGATACCGAAGGACCAGAATAATATATCAAGTTAAACTTACATGTCATTTTGTTTTTTATATAAAACATTGATTTCATCCTTAAACATACACTTTCTAAATCTAACAAAACGGACCTGTCTCAAAAACAATAAATCATACAAAAAATTTAAACTTTTAAAGTAATGAAATAGTTCTCTACATAATATAGTTTTAGCGGTCTACTAGAACTACTGCGAAATAAATGTCCGACTTTCCTATTTTACTATTTACTTATATCACTGGATTTATAACAAAAAGGTGTCAACTTGTATCAATGTTAACCATCCCGTATTCTGTTGAGCATTATTTGCTCTTTTGACATCACGTTATGTTTGATATGGCATGAACTATTTATTTCCCCCACTTAAAAAGGTGACTAATTAAATTTCTTGCATTAAATATGCAATATATTGACACGTATTTAACTGATTTTATTTGAACCTAGATAAAGTTAAGAAACAACTATAACCAAATTATACACGGAACTGAGTCTAGCACGTTTGAGTGTTGAGATTTGAGTACCGCTTAACTCCGTGCTAGTTTGCGTTAGGGATGTTGCACTTTTTCATTATCCCTCATGTACAGACTCAATCAAACCGAGTCTGCAATTTTCATGTTATTAGCTGTTTTCAATGCTTCCGAGATATCACTTTTTTCCAAATATTTAACTTGCATTTATATTAATTCACATTCTCAGAAGCTGATTTTGCGGCTACACGATCTTTCAAAGTGTTTTATTAAAAAGATATTATGCAGCGTCCTAAGGTAAAAAGTAAAATTATTTATCTCGAAACAGATTATATAAACAATTGATAATTTTCATCCTTAAGCATTTCTTTCATCATTTATGCAGAGGCAATCTGACAATAATTTACTCCAATGCAGACTTGCGGCCACTTTTTGTCAAAATAATTCATCAAAATAAATTTCTTGATGTTATTTTGCACAAATATACTGCACTAACTATTATATTGGTTCGATATAAAAATACATTTTTATATAATGAATAATGATTAAATTGGTTACTATTCTTATAGATAAAGAAATATAATCTAGATGTAGTTTTTATACCAGACAATCATCTTGTTATTTGCACGCGATGGCTCCACATTTCCATAAAACATTTGCAAAGTATTACCCCGTATATTTGCATGGAAGCGATAATTATTTTAATGCATAGTGTGCGATAGCTCGTTATCTATTTTATGTTATAGCATTTATTGGAGAATATTACAACAACTTGTTGGCAGGTTTGTTCATTTTTTGAAATACCATGTTCACAGTGAATGAATGATTGTTGCAAATTACACAAGATAATCCTGATAGAATTTGTGCGTGAACTAGTGCATTTTTATCATCTGAATTATGCATCTAATGTCCTTTTCGCATGGCAAATTTAGCCATAATGTTATCTTTATTTGCGATTGTATGTAAATTATTATTAATATGTGTATGTTAATGGATTAATGTACTACATAAAGTAGATCATTAAATTATTAGAATTGATGGTACAAAATGTGTCCTAATTCAATGCCTTCAAAACTTAATTTAATTGTAATGTTTCAAACATACAGGTATGTTCAGAAAGGTCAACACTTTAAACTTTGTTCCTCTGGTGTAGTTTATGAAAATTGATAAACGGATGATAGATAACAGGTACATTTATTTACACACTATTGCACACATTTAACTTAACACTGTTTCACTGCATTTGAGCCTTTTGTAGTCAAGTTACTTAGAAATTGCAGACACAAATTCAAATAAACGTTTTGAATTGTCATCAGACAACTCCGAATGTTTGTTAGTTGCCCCTTCCGAAAGCCTCAAAGATAGATATTGTGCTTTGGGATACCCTAATACACAGGTGAACGTCGCGTGGCCATGACTTACACTATACCCCCGTTCCCCCTCTACAACCCAAAACCCTTAAACATGATCCAAAATCATAAGTATTGACAAAAATAAATTTTATGAAAAAAAAAAAAATAAATAAAAAAATAAGACTCTAAAAAATTAAAAGGTATTTAACTCTACTTTCATTTTGTATAGAACAATCACTAGCATTTCGATTTTCAGCACATATATTCATCAAATTTTCACCAATCTTAACAATCTTGGTGTCAAATCTTAAATAAATAAATACTCTTTAAGAGAACAAAACTGGCACCTTCGCTGATTATACGTAGCAAGTAATATTCAAGCACAAACTGTCAACAAATGAAACTCGAAAGGCAAAACATAGAAATTGAAAAAAAAAAAACAAGTTAGTATTACATACAGTTTATTTAGAAAAGCTACTTAAAGGTGTTTTCTATTTTATTCTCTTGATGCGTCAAACAGGGGCCAATCAAATTGTTTTAAGCAAACTTGATAAAAAAAACTCCAAAATTGCTACAGACAAAGTTTGGTGATCATCCAACAATATTAGTACATGTAGATCTAATATAATATTTAGAATGTATCTTCATCCGAGTGGACATGCACTTAGTTTAAAATCTGTCCTTTTACATGATCTACGAAACAACATTCTCGTACTCTGCAATTTTTCCTGAAAAAAAAAACATATTTGATTGATTAAAAACAGTTTTGCCTCTATTTTTGTACAATAAACCATACAACTTATTTGCCAATTAATTCTTGATAAACTTCCTGTAATTACTTGAAACGGACATATTAATTGAGATAGTGATATGAACATAAGTATTTTAAAAAAATCATAAAATGTAAATTCTATGTTCTATATTATGTATTGTATATTATTATAAAAATGGGTATATTTATTTATACCTTTTCCAATCTGTAGAGGTTCATAGTGTGTTTGAACAATTTCTGTACGTTGATCGTTTCTTAAAGATTCGTATGCTGTTTGGGAACTAATTAAGATATTAAAAAGAAAATAGTATCAGACTATTAGAAGACGACTTTGGTGTGATAATCATTAAAGTTTAAATACATGTGTTTAATCGAAAGAACTCGTCACATATTTAAATCTGTAATGGATATTGCACTTTGAAGTACCCCTAGAATGCTAAGACAACTTTTGTCCAACATAAAGCTGGATGACCCTTCGCATCCGTGCATTCCGATCATCTTCTATACTAAATACTGATCTAGATAAAAGGAATTTTTTGCAAACAAGTCTATTAAAAGGTGTAAATGTTCAATCTGGTTAAAAGGTATTTAGCAGTTAATACATTTATTTTAAATGATCTAATATTAGAACATAACAGAACTTTTAATTTTCATTCTTATACAAATGTACATGGTCTTGTTAAAACGCAATTAATTCATATTTACAATATAATCACAGACATGTAGGCGTGAGGGAAATTTTTCTCAGAGGATATACTACAATTTAGAGTTCAAAATTGAATGTTTTAGTTCTAAAGCTTCGATATTTTATCAAAGTTTGAGCAACATACGTATTTATCATTTTACATGAAATAAAATCATTGAAACCTAATCATACAATCATACAAACCAAATAAAAAACATAATAGGGTTATAAAGTCTGATTTTTAAATATGAGATACGAATAACTTTCTAAACACTGTTACCCATTTTGTGATTCTGTAACCTCCCCTGCGTTGCATCTGATTTCACGCCGATCTACAATTTCCAAAAAACACACGTTTAATATAGATTATATGATATTTTAATTCTGAAAAATTTGTACATGATTTAATCAAAAGTAATTGATACGGACATACATACATGTTGAATCGCGTTACTAAGTGTTTCTTTAAGTGACAACTTTGGCGAAACACGAATATTTTAGTTAGCTTATAAACTGATCAAGTTTTGACACAGACACTGATGATGTGAGTAACTGCTTTAATTAAGATACTTATTTGGTGGACATGATGTATTTTTGTTTTTCAAAGTTACGAGGCTTTAAACTTAATTAACACAATATACGTTCGAAGCACATGATTGGGCTAGGAAAACCTGTTTGTATTTTCTCAGATGCAGCCCACTTCTTCAAATGGATGCATTATACACAGATCTAAAATGATCTGCGTTACTTGTTTACCGACCTTAGGTAGTGAACCCCGTGGACTTTGAAAACATGTTTTTAAAAACTTTTTTGTGACGAACAACAATATTAAATAACAGTATGGTGATGTGATTTAAAGCTATCATGATGACTGAATAAAAATCCACGTAAAATTTCAACCCGCAAAAAATTAAGGATGATATCACCGACAAAATATTCCAGAACGATGTTAATGCACTGTACTTCCTTATAAGAAATAACACATAATAAACTAGTACGCTGTTCATTGTTTAGATACAATGGATACAAAGTCATTACCTTCACAAATAACAAATCCTTCCTTTATTGCTATGACACAAACAAACACCAAAAGTATTACAAAGAATGACCATCCACTTATAGCCAATACAAGAAGTTTGTTGTCCTCTTCGTCTGACACTTTAAGAGTACAAAATATGCAAAACAAGATCAACAAGGAAGGACGGCGTTCAAGACTTCAGTTGATACATGATATGATTATGAAAAGAATTTGTCAAAGCAATGTCCAGGAAGTCGTTTTTTCTATAATAATAATAATAATAATAATAATAATAATAATAATAATAACAATAATAATAATAAAATAATAATAATAATGTTTATTATACACACAAAATGCGATGCTTATATCCATCAGAATTATGAATTATTAACATTTATCTGAAACACTTGAACAACTGCAAATGATTAAGGGAAAGATAATTAAATGATGGAATGAAATATATGGATGCACATGTTGCATCACTGAAACAGCGAGAATTTCACTTGAAATTTAAATACGGTGTTTAAAAATTGAATTGCAACACACACAAAAAAAAACACTAACCTTTTACATTGTTACATAAATCTTGCAATGTGTTTGGGTCTAATACACAGTCCTTGCTACATTGTGTGTTTTCTCCATTCACTGTAGCTTTTGAATGATAAAATAATGTTATTTTGATCACCAGACGAACGTAGAAGGCTCGTAGTTTGAAAATAAAACCCTATTTTTTTGTTTAATCTGACAAAGTAAATGATATATAATAATGAAATGGCGTTTT